GACGCTAGGGAGGCCTCAGTCAAGCTGAGCTTCGGTTTGCTGGATCAACACCATCATCTTGATGTGACCTGATTCTCTTGTCTGGATTTGCCGAAAAACGGCAAATCCAGCTCTCATCGTCCACCATGACGAGAGAGGTCAACCATCGGTTTTTTCGAACGCAACATCGCATCAAACTCACTCCGCTAGCCAATTACGTGAGGTAAACAACCTCCACCTAGTCTCGGCTTGGGTGAAGTGTGACGAACGATTGGGCTCATAACCTGCGAACGGAGGCGATGTGCAGTACGATGTAGACATGGGATGACACAAAAGAATAAGCTAAAAATTAAAAGGGGATTCTACGCTTACGTCTACCTCGTTCTAGCGAGTCCCGGGAGGTTCACCTCGTGATTGCCAACCACCAGCTGGTTTTGGCTCCTCTCGCATGTGAGTCCTTCAGGGCTCGTTCACTCTGCTCCATTTCCGACTTGGCTTTCTCGGTTGCCTCCTCCAGTTTAGCTATCTTCTCGTCCATGGCTATGGTACTAGCCAGTATTTGTTTGCCTGGTCTCTCTTCGTGTCTTTGACGGAGAGCCTTGCTGCCGACTTGACATGGAACTTGTGGCTGTGGCAGCAGATCCATTTTGTAAATCTCACTTTTTACGTTTGGAAAAGGTTAAAAAGATCATTTTTCGTAATAATGACAGGAGGTGGTTGGAAAGAAGCAAAACCGCATTCCTTGGTTGGGATCTAGCCAGTCAAGGGGTGCTGAAGTTTTGTATGATCAATCGCTCAGCCTTGACCTTCACCCTTGTCAATTGACAGAGAGGATAATGTTGCAGTACCTAGCTAGACCTTCCAAGATCTATGGTATTAGATTTTGTGTGAGAAATCCATTGCTTGAAGTATGGGGGGCTAGCAATTATTGTGCGAAATCCAGCTCGCTCTGGGGCCAACTGCTGTGTTGATTGAAATGCTGGGCTAGCCATTGTACAAGATCCAGTGATGGTCCAACTGCAGTGGAGCTTGAAGTCCTGGGGCTAATACCGGTATTGGTTGTGGGAAATGCAGTGCTGGAGCCAGCTGCTGTAGGAAAGCCAGTGCTGGGGCTAGCTAGTGGTTTGATGAAATCCAGTCCTGAGGCCAAGTGCTGCATTGATCACAGTGCTGGGGCTAGCAGCTAGCAGTTGTGGGAAATGCAGTGCTAGGGCCAATTTGTTGCTGCAACTAAAGTGGGGTTTAGGGGATAGCTGCTGCTCGTGTTGCAGTGTTGGGTTCGAGGTTGTGGCCAACTGCGCTGGGTCAGACCGTTATGGGACCAACCACTTTAGTGACTGTAGTCCTCTGCTCACGAATCGCCAGCAAGTTACTTGCTCCACCTTCCACATCGCTGCTTTCAGGCTCCTGCGCGCGTAACACAAGCAACCTGAACTGGGTCCATTTTGAATTTGTCAAGCCTCAAGAATGTCTGCCGTGATCATCTGCGGACCGTTGACGCAATTGAACTGCATGGTTTGGCAGCAATAGATGATCTCCACTGGCATTCATGGTGGAGATCATCTATTGCTGTGATAGGATATTTGCCGGGGTCAACGAATCTGCAGTGGCTTCTACTTGCCAGATAGGGGTCAACTGCTGTTGTATACCGGTATATGACAAGTGCATCTCTTTAATTCATTCCTTATTACACACAGGGAAACCCCTTCTTAGCTATGTATACATATCTGGGATTTGCAGCTCTAAATGAGTTTGTGGTTGATCGGAGCGTCGTCGTGACTTGCCACTGCCTTCGCGACGACGGGATCTCCTTCTGGACGACGAAGAGTTGGACATGGGATCACCGCCCTTGTTTCCTTGGCTAGTTCGTCTTCTTCTGGATGCAATTCCACAGTTGCTGCGTACCACAATGACGGGCAATTCTTCTCGTGCCACTTGTTCTGCGACGGTGGCTCGCTGTGCTGCGTCTTCTTCTTCGTGTTCGTGTTGTTGCTCTTCTCCTCCTTCCAAATAGTCATTGGACAAGTTCCCCAACAAGGAGGAACTGGAGGCATCGAGTATTAAGCGATCAAAACTGTGAATGCTTCGTTTCAACATATCGGTGGCGACACTCATTCGTTGCTGTCGAATGAGGCGAGGAGATGGCTTGGGGCTGGAAAAGGACGACGTCGAAGAGTTGAATGTCAGACTCGAGTCGCTGTGATCCGCCCAAGATGTCAAGGAATCATCGTTCATCATTTCTCCAAAGTCCCAGGCTTTTCGTTGAGCATCGTGAGAAGCCAAGCGATTGCCCGATCGGCTTTTGCGCATTATCATGGTGTTATAGCGGCTCATGCTTCTTTCTCAAGTACCTCTTGTGAAGCTACTGAAGCTCAAAAAACAATGATGGATGGAGGTTGATTTTGTGGGATCTTCCGAGGCTGTACAAATTTGGTGATGTTTGGAGCGGTTTGCAACCAAAAAGATTCGGGTGACCAGTGAGAGGACATCACCATAAGTATCTTTCGGAAGTTGATGTCATTGGAGACATCATGAACTTCCAAGGATGGTGTCCATGCAGGCTCTCTCCCTAAATCAATTTGGACTTCACCTGAAACCTCTGGCATCCAGAGACTCAATGGTTGAAAGTTCGCCTAATTACCTTGTGTGTCCGGTCATATAGTTTAGCTTAATGTCCCCATCGCAGAATCACAGTCACAGAAGCTGTCACAGATCCGCCCTTGACTCCCACATCCCGCACTCAACGCACGCCGTGATTGGATTGATGACTTCAATCAACCGTGCAGTTGATGTGCAAGAGCAGCGATACTGGTATCATAGCTCCCACGGTCTCTGTGGCAAGAGATGTGGCAAGACAGTGAAAGAGTAATAATATACCCTGGAACTTCTATTGTTCATGGGAGGATCTAGCACTCCCAAGCCGTTCTGGCTACAGTGTACAAGTACCTTCAAACTCGCTTCCTGCCTCCAACTTGCTTGGAAGCACCATACCGGCCGATTGATTATAAGGGAGTTTAGACAAAGGAGGTTATCTACGGAAGCCAGCGAGGGCTTCCACCGTATTGGTGCACGGGGGAATTTGGATATCCCCAAGTTGCGGTCTGGAGGCAATTGGGAAAACCGCAAAGCTGGCGTTCACTCTCCTACTCTAGTAAATTGTTCCCTCGTTGCAGTCGTACTCCTCTAATCTACACGGAGATCATGTTGTTTTCCTGACTTTGTTCCTCTGCTATATACATCGTAGCTGCCTCAAAGTCAGATAATCTCAAGTTTCGCTCGCTTTAAAAACGCTCAAACTCTTTTGGAGGGCAAGCACTGATTCCAGTCCACTTCGATTTGCTTCGAACGTTTACAGCTTCGCAGGCTTTATCCTAAAGATGGAACCCCACCACCAAACTAACTACCAGGCACCGGTAGCTTGGATCCACACAATTCGAGTTTCACAATGATCCCACTGGTGGCATGGCTACTGCTTCTACTCAGCTCCCCTTCCTCCTTACTTATTGAGAAGAAGGACAAGGTGGACTGGTTGATTGTGGGAGGTGGATTGCATGGCGTTCACATTGCCGCTCGCTTGATCGCGGTCGGTTCGTCGTTGGCCATTGTGGACGAGGAAGCGCGTCTTTTAACAAAATGGAAATCTCGTGCGGCAGCCACGGGCATGAAGTACATGCGATCCTCGGCATCCTTTCATTTGGATGTCGATGTGGCATCTCTACGAAGATTTGCTGCTACAGCTACAGCTGATGCTGCTGCTGTTTCAACCATTCCAAAAAAGAAGCGACGACAACGACACAGGAGTAGTAGTAGCAGTCGCCAACACTTTACGAGTGACTACGAACGACCATCATTGGATCTCTTCAATCGTCACTGCGACCATGTCATTCAAAAGTACGGGATAGAAGACTTGCACATATGTGGTAGAGTCCAACGAATAGATCCCACCAAGGACAATCAGAGTGTCACTGTGACGATTGCTACATCAGGGCATGATTCCACTACTGTCTCTGCCAAACAGGTCGTTCTAGCCATGGGCTTTGATGATCCAAAAATCCCAGCTTGGGCTCTCGTAAAAGAAGAAGAAGGAGGAGAATATCCACAAAAACCACCCATTCAACATGTTCTGGATCTCACCACAACCACCACTTCCCACAGTGCCTCTGGCGACATTGTCATTGTTGGAGGAGGTATTTCGGCCGTCCACAAAGCCTTGCAATTGGCTGAACAGCAGCAATCTACTACTAGTAGTAGTACTAGTGTCATTCACATTGTCAGTCCACATCCGTTGCAAGAGCAGCAATTTGACACCCATCAAGACTGGATGATGACGGCACAAACCGCCGCGCAAAGTCTGCAAGCGGGTGGCAGTGGCTTTCCCGATCGGTTCATGAAATTTCGACAATTGGAATCTTTTATTGATCGGCGAACTGTCATTCGGCAGGCACGAAAAGCGGGCACGGTGCCGACCGCATTGACCCGTGGTGGATTGAAACATGCCATCGACAAAGGAAACATTCAATGGCATGTGGCAACCATTGATCGAGTGACTAGTACTGCGAGTCTGACGGACAGTAATGATGACAGTCGTGATGTAACGAGTGCTTGCATTCACTTGTCCACGGGAGAAACCATTTCAACCTCATGGGACAACATTGTACTGGCCACTGGATTTGGAAGCAGTCCACCTTCTGCACCACTAATTCATCAAATTGCCAAGGATTTCAATCTACCGCTGGCTCCTTGTGGATATCCCATGGTGGACCATACTCTGAGGTGGCATCCTCGAGTGATCGTGTCGGGAGGACTGGCCGAATTGGAGTTGGGACCGTCGGCACGAAATCTCGCAGGTGCGAGAATGGCAGCCGAGCGGATTGTGGCATCCAACCAATAGACAAGGATGATCAAGTAGACAGGCATGTACATTACAAGCACGGTAGAGGCATGTCTATTGGTTCTGGGCAATGATCTTATCTGGATTGGGTCATGGTATAGTGTGATTTATTGGCCACGGAAGAGCTGGCGCTATATACTGAATTATGCACCGTTCTTGCTTGCTATCATACGCAATGTACGCAAAGGCAAAGCCTGTTGCGATGTGGATGTTTCCACCGTACTGGCTCATGAATGATCTTCAAGACTTGAAGAGCTCAGGGTAGGAAGATTGCGAAGGATAGAAGTTACGGACATTTGCAAATGGCGGGCCACCTGACTGTTGGATAGTAACTGCTGAATGCGGTCGTGATTCCATGATGGGTCGGTGCTCGTCGCAGCACGTTTCGGTATGCGGCAGACACCCAACGAATTCCATATATCCAACAACTCCTGGTGCTTGCTTGTGTTGCAGTCGCAAACCTTGAGAGCCAACGTTGTGCACTGCAAATTGGTTGGCCAGGTTCGCCACTCGCAAAGATAGACCATCCTTTGAAGGACACGGAATGCGACCTGATAGCTGCTTTTGCGCAAGTGGCCTGTCAATATGGGATCGTCATACCCCTCTTCTTCCGACAAGAAATATCGCACCTGCCCGTTCACATGGCGACATTCAAGGCCGGGTATCGATTGCCCAAAGGCATCAGGATTCTGGTCTTTGGCCAAGCGAAGTTGTGCCATTTGCAGAATGTGATTTGTGCTTGCTCCACTGTGTTTGCCAGCGATTGCCACGACTTCAACAATCTCAGGTAGCTTGGGCATAATAGTCTTGGGTACAAGTAGTAGTTCATCTAGCTGCCATAAGCTTCCATTTGCTTCCTCTTCGAGATCATCTGTTTCTAGCTGGGGTTCCTTGAAGTCAAGCAACGACAGGATATGAATGACTCTTTCGAGATCCCATATGTGTTTGCCATCACTCGACCACCAGACTCCCCATTCTTTGTAACACTTGACGGCTGCTCGAAAGCTGGGCTTTTGAGTCATCTCGTCACGTATTTGGTAAATGAAGTCCACTACAAGTCGGAAGGCTTCGTGGCTCTTTGGCCAGTGCTCTGTACCTGTAGATTCAACACCAAAGGCGAATGCCATATCTCGAAGGATTATCAAAGCAGCGTTGCGTCTGTCACAGCCGACACTGTCAGCAATCAGTTGCTCCAGTTTCACAACGGACATTGTTTCCACGAGTTCGTAGACAACGTCACCCCGCTGGTGTTCGGTGCTCTTAGCTGTGGCGTTGAAACCAAACTTCTTTTTCTTCTTGTCTCTTTGCGACGGCATGGCTGGAGCTTGATGTAGCCTGAACTGCTTCTGGGATCGCACTTTCGTTTTCTTTCACTTTCAACTTCCCAAGTGAGCTTCTCTTCTAAACTATGTTGGGGCTCAAAGCTGTATGATATGAAAATTTCAGATAGACTCTCACTCGGAGTGGTTGGCTTTGCAGATGATGCCCTTCACCGTGTAGTGGCTGGTGGCGTGGAATAATTCAATTCACCGTGGAAGCCGAACCAGCGCAACCGCCGCCCCTAACCTCTCGGGGCGATGGAAGGCTTCCATGTTCGGGCGAACTACGGGTACTCCCTTCCAACGCCGGGGCTACTGTACCTGAATGGCATGCTCAAGAAAGGTTTTGAGAGAGATCCGGCGCCAACCGGACATGTGGTCGGTACTTCCCAGTATCCGAGGCCTTGGGCGGGGTGTGTGATGGTGTCGTTCATTGATGACCTTCACACTCAACAACCAAATATGCATCCGCACCTGTATCCGGTGGGAGTTCAATTAGATGTTGCGGCCGTCGACTTGATGCTTGAATTATTGGGGTGAACCAAGTCAAGTCAGGCAACGCGGAACGGAAATAGGAAATTGCTATCTTGATTTATTTGATATCGAATGCTAAAAACTGTAGAATGTTCCACTGAACAAACATCCGTATCGGGCACGAGTTTAGATTGTGCAGCAAATGGACTGGATGCTCCAATTCGGCGCATGATTGAGTCAGCACGGCACGGCAATCTCTGTTTCCGGGGCACGAAAATAGAACATGCCATCTCAATTGATTGAACAAGGGAGAGCGCTTGCTAGAATGTTGCACTGGTTTTCACCTACTTTTGCTAGCTAGAGTACCGTACTTTAGAAAGCTACCTGAAGTGGCACAATCTCTCAGAGTAGGGCTGCGTTGCCCATCGGCAAGCAACCCCAAGGTGCGTCACCAGCGAGTTAGTTTGACTTTTTGTCACGCGTCTTTTATCTACCGGTACCAATAGTTAGATAAGCGAAACGCAGTATCATGGTACGCACTGTCCCGAACGAAAAAGATGGATTCTTGACGTTTGCTCTGATGTATATGTATGTACATGTGTTTAGTCGAATGTGATTTTGGTTCCTTTGAACTGCACAATTCCGCTAGTTTCTTTCTTGGCAGCTGCCCAAGATGGATGTAGTGGTTCTTCCTTTTGTTTTGGCTGTTGTTGTTGGTGGTGGTTGTGATTTGGCGCGACCTTGCTACTGTCCCATTGGTTGTTGTTGTTGCTATGATGGCTCTGGTTGTGACTGTTTGGATCGTTATTGTTGTGGTTGTTGTTGTGGTCTTGATTCTGTTTTGGTGCTCTCCAATTGAGCGAGTCCTGGGCTCTATGAAGTCTTCCTGCTTGTTTGGCCTCAATTGCCATGGCTTTGGCCCTTCGAGCTCTCTGACCTTTGCGATTCTTCTTTGGTTGTTGCTGCTGGTGTTCCAGTGTTCCTCCAGGACCATATGGATTTTGGTAGGGATCATCACTGTCTTGATCATCCTCTTCAACATCACCAGCAGGCGCAGCTCCCAAAGTGCAAAAGAGACTCGTGTCGACGGATGTTGGTTCTCGCAGTTCCTCTGATTGATTTGCAGCTGCCTTCTTTTTCTGTTTCTGTTTTTTCTTCTTGCTCATGGTTGTCGTAGTACTAAACTTGTGAGTATCGTGTTGTTCTTGTTTTTGAAGCGACCATCGTCGGTACTCGGTCACTTTTTCGTTCCATTCTTCTAGTGTTGATTGCAGTCGTTTGTGTTTCAACAACCGTTCCACCAGATCCATGGCTTCGGGTGGAATTGGCGGTGCGTCTTCTTCTTCTTTTTGTTCTTCTACTACTAGTAGTGATGGCTGCTGGGGATTCAAATGCAAAATGCCCAATCGTCGCACACACTCTTGAACGACCCATTCCAAATCCAACTGTTTCAGCAATTCATAGCTGCATGAAGTCTCTTTTTTCTTGTTGTCTTTGAGTTTCCGAATCTCCTTTTGGCATTCAAAGTTTTTGACCGTCTTGGTGTGTTTTCGCAAACTCTTTTTCGTGGCATGCAACAGACGTTCGTAGTACTGGACTTGCTCTTGCTCCCATCGCGGCAGTTCACTCTTCTGCTTCTTCTGCTTTCTCTTAGTCTTATTGCTAGTCTTACTATTACTACTGGGCTTGCTAGCACTTGGAGTAGCTTCGGACGACATGGTCATGGTCAAGGCCAACACAATAATAAGTTGGAACTCGGGAACGTCCAGAGAAAGAGTGGTTGGTTGCGAGGCGAAGCCTGAACCTTAAAACCACGCCTCGGATGTCGATTAGGGGGAAAGCTTTTTGTAACAGTAAATTACATTTTTTTAAAACGTATCTATTTAGGATTATTTGTTTACCCCGATAGGCCCTGAACTTGAATGCGGGCTGCTGATACTTGCACGTCACTCTGAAACCACTTTTTGAATCAAGGAAGTAGCGAACAACCGTGCCCGTATAAGAGGGAGGGCTGGAACGGCATGAATGACATCTATTTGTACACTTCCAATAAGTATAACACTGCACATGGCTGGAGAGCAGAAATCTACAAGAACACACCTTACAATTTGGTTGCTTGTGCTTCTGGCGTAGGCTTAGGATGCAGCATGACGCTGTGCACCTCCCAATTGGGCCACAGAAGACTGCACAGTTGTACCTTCCTCCAGGACATTCCGCCCCAGTCTGAAATTATTCATTTCTCCCTGGCTAGCTAGAGTATGATACACCGGCAACGTGCGTCGACGGCGTCAAGCTGTAACGAGGGCAACTCGTCCAGCGATGTGCCTTCTGGAATGGGCGTGGCCTTGGCATAGACGAGTCCTCCCGAACTTTCGTCACTGGAGACGGGAATCACTTGGATGCGAGATGATCCGTCGCTGTCGACTGCGTTCAGCTTGTAGTTGCGCAATGGAGGGTCACTAATGTGTGCCATTTTCTGGTTCTCTACCCGCGCGACGACGGGCCTTGAGCTCATCGTTGGGGTTCCCAAAGGTTCATTGGCCGGCATCGGTTCCAAGGTTCTTTCATGAAGCGTGCGATCAAGGCCCTGAGCTTGTGCAGGCTTTGCCGGTTCATCGTGATTAGCTGCGACCATAGTCGTCTCTACGGCGCCTTGCCAGGCTCTGGTGATGTGAGTGGAACGAGTTGGGATAAAAGGTTTTGGTGTGTTTTCCGCGACAGACTTGCTGGGATGGATATGGCTTTGCGACATGGTTGTACCACCACTGACTCGGCGGGGGAATTGAACGATTGTTCCTTCCAGTGTCACCGATGATGGGTCCTCCAATATAGGATCCAAAGTAACACCCGACGTATCCCTTTGTTGACGGTCTGTTGAAGCCGAAGCGCTGCTATTGGTTTGATCATTGATAAATGGCTCCAATGCAGCGCCGGATGACTGGGGTGGAGCGAGTGACGGTTCCCCGTCGCCCCGACTTGCTTCAGTTGCCCGGTCTGCTGATCTTGCGTTGGTGTCAGGTTTGGCTCGTCTTGACAACTCTACAGGTGCTGGAACCCTGCTTGGGTTGGGCCTCTCGGCTACACCGGAGGTTACATACCGGCATGCTTCCGGCACGGTGGGATAGATCGCAGGAGGATCCACAGATATAGATTTTCCGTCAGCAAAGACGGAGGCTTTTGATTCTTTCTCGCCCGTGGCTGATGGATCTTCGAAACTCCGACTGGGTCTTATGGTTTCAGGCGAAAGATTCAACACAGAGAGCCGTTCATATAGGTGGTCGTTCGGGCCGATTTGGCTGTTTGGTGTGTTTCTTTCGATATTGTGTCCACTGACGGGACTCTGCTGGATAACTGTCGATGAACCTGGCCCATTAAACGTCTGCAAAAATTCAAAGAAGGCTTCCATCATTGATGGATCCACCGCCGACAGAGTCGACCCACCCAAACCAGAACCAGCCGCAATGGCTCCATCTGACCTCGTGACGGTCCCATAATGTTCTGCGGGTGGATCGCTTCCCGTACGACTAATGGATGCTTCAGATGGACGAAAAGTTGTGCTGGTTGGTCTGCTTCCGGTTGCAGACAAGAATGCCGGCAATGCAGGCGGGGTCACATCATTGGTCGGTGTCGGTGGAGTTACATGATCGGCATCTGAGGGCACACTTGGACCAAGTGCATGCGAGGATGGGGTCTGATTTTGGATTTGTGTGCATGTTGAGGCCGCAACAGGGGCTTGCTGTGCACATGTAGGAGTTGAATTGTTGGCATGTGTTTCCTGGCCTGAGGCTTGCTGTGTTGGAACTGTCGCCTCATTGGTCTCTGTTGCTGCAGTGTCTGTCTGTGCTTGGGATATGATTTGCCGCAAAGTCCCTGTAAAGTCTGCCACAACCTGGCGGAGCATGGTTTCCACCTCCAATCGAGCACCTGAAGTCGAGTTTCTGTCCTGAAGAACGCCGACGAGCTCTGCGACCACACAAGGAAGTTCTGAGGTATCTGTGATCGAGTCACAGTCTTCCAGTATCAGCTGGCTTAGGGTCTCGACTGCCGCGGATCCTGCTGCAGAAGTAGTGGTGGCTGCTGTTGTTCTCGGGACATTGATGTACCTTGGAAGCGCAGGCGCCAGAGAGTCGACATCAGAAACATTAGAACCATCGTCGTCAATCGTCGCCCGGTCGCCAGTAATGCGCAGTACCCACTCAGAGTGGCGTATCACTTCTTCCTTCTCACTTTCAGACAACCCGCGAAAGAAGCGCAGGGCTCTTGGCTGGAGCTTTCTTCTGATGGCTCTCCCGCCATCGTTTTGAGTCGACATGGCGAGCTGGTTGCGACGCTACCAACAACCTCACAACCTCACAGATGCAACCAATTTAATGGCGTCTTCTTGTTGACCTGGGTTTTCTGTCAGAACAAGTTGGATCTTTTGCGTCTGTGACAAGGTTCCAGTTCTGGGGGGTGGAGAAATCAAGCGCTATCCCACACAAAACCAAGGTAAACCATGACCAAGTGGTAGACAGTGGTAAACCATAGCACAGTTGTAACACGTTGGTGGACAGTGGTGAAAGTGAGAACTGCTGTCAGCAGTGATGTTTGCACTGACAGCATGGCTCGGAGCACTGGTGGGCCTGAGTTTCTCCATTCTCCATCCCCCGGTGCCGGTCGTGTTTCGAGTGGGCCATCCACATTTTCACGTCTGGGTTGATGTGCTGTACTCGTACCGCTTCTCTTGCTGATGTTTCAAGAATTGGATCTTGGATCCATCCAATCAATTTGTCGCATGGCCAGGGGTTGGATTCTGTGCGAAGGCTTTGGAAGGAACGTTACAGTAAACAGATGACAGCTTTCCGCTACCGGTAGCTACGGTAGTACTGTACTGGTGGTCCACTCCTTCCTCTGCGAAGGTCGGCACACCATCAAGTTTGGTCTCGGCCGGTCATTAGTACGCCGCCCAATCAATCAATGGAGGCAGTTTCCCTAATAGTAGTTTATATTCCAATTTTGTACAAACTACAAGAAAAAGTATGACAGCTCTGACCAGCCAGCAGTGGAGGACTGGGAGTATTTCACAATAATAGGAGCCTCAGATCTCGTTGGGAGCGATAGCGCCATGTGGGCACGTCCTTCATTCAACATTGACAACGTCAAAGACTTCCAGGCCCATACTCAAAAAGCTTTCGTCTATCATGGCCTACAGTACCGTAGCAAGCAATGGTTGGTTCTCGATTCTCAAGCTATTCAACAACCTGTTCATGGATCTCTAATAGAAGGGAGGATCTCAAAGAATTCAAAGCTACCAGTACTACATACATGTACCGGTAGTTGGTTGTGGTCCCGTTTCGTTGGAGTATCTTTTTGAACCTCGACTAGGGTTAAGCGTAATGATAGGATCTTTTGTGTGGTGCAGCCCGCAATTAAAAGAAGGCATTCCTGGGCACCGGCCCGTCTTGTGGTACCGTACAGCTGTATGCATACATGTATGTACATATATGCCACAAAGAACGACGGAACATTACAAAGGAAAAACACGAATGAGGAGCCAATCAACTTACATTCTCAGATATTGAATCTCGGCGGACCTCTCACGGCCACACGGCCATCGGCCACGCCAAGTCATGACAACGACAGATGGTCCGTCAGTGGCAGCTAAGTACGGTAGTCTGTGATGACTGGGATATTATGAGAGTTTGCGTTGTCTATGGAGATGAGCTTGGTTGGTTGCGGTGGTAGGAAGGCTGATTCAATGAAAGAAAGGAATTGGTTGACCAGCAATGTGACCTACATACTGCGGGGAGGAACCAATGCTGCTCTGCATCCTCCATCCAAACCAACTCGCTCATGCAGAGCAACCACACCCTATGGCCCAAACTACGACTACAGCTTCGAAATTCAAGAGCAGCCTCGTCGGACCAAGGCTGACGAGAGGTAGCCAACATGGTAGCTGCTACCCTTGTGCGAACAGAACACCTAAACATGTATCTAGAGGAGAGCAGTCCAAGCAAAGAACAGGCACACCCAACTATCCTTAGCTAGTAGCTAGAAAAGAGGGTATCTCAAAGGATAGTTCAAAATTGGTTATGTTAAACGTTTTAAAAGATCATGTATGTATAACAAATAGTATCAAAATTGCATGCTTCTTGGGTGACTAGGAGTCTCATCAGGGGTGCAACTCAACTCTGAACAAATCTGATGGTTTACCCAAGGTAACAAAGCTGTAATGCAGCGTGGCGATGGATGTAGGCATGCAGTGGACGGGAGCAAACGCCAATCACAGTGGGCGTGGTGGTCGGAACATTCTTCAAGTTTTGCGTCTATTGATAGATCATTGCGAGGCTCTCTTCTGAGCGTTTCTTTAAAAAAAAGTCAAGTCAACCCTGCTCTCCACATACATGGGGCCACTGCCACGCTGTTGTCAGCGTGCCGTATTATTCCTGTTGGCCCACAACCTTGGAGGAGCCGTTGAGGGAAGACGTAGAAGGACAAGCATAGTGGAGCTGGTAGGATCCATCGATGGTGGTGGACAAGCGAGTGCTCGTGTTGTAACGCTCCACAATGGTAATCTCCATAGAAGGGGCCCGGCGACTTTCCTCTTCGGAGGGGATCACAAAGGAAAAGGAAGAGTTGCTGTTGCTGCTTGACATGGTCAACTACGTAATTGCTAGAATGATCTAAAGGCTTTCGGTATTGTCCTTTTGGACTTGGTTTTCGAAATTGTGTCTTTGTCAAGCTGCCTCTTGGCATTGGCGGTTTTGGGATGAGAGTAAATAAATAAATAGGATACTTCCGAAAAGAATATGGAATCCTTCTCAAAGAACTGAGGAATCCTTTACCGGTTGTTAGGTAAACTTTGAGATTCCATAGAGCAATTAACCAACATGGTAGCTGTGTGCAAAGCTTGTTCCTTTTCAAAGCATCGGTAATGTTTGTTTGATATTCCTAGCCTCTAACCCTATAAACTCCGCTATGGAATCCAGAAGGTGGAATTTGCAGAGACCTCTCAAGATTCGTGGAATTTCGCCACATCAGCCAACACACAGCGTCATCGATTCCATCCAACAGGCGTTGGCCAATCACAGTCACTGTACCGTTGGGTGCTGGTACCACAGTTTGTCTGCAGCAGTGGAGGGAAGGCAAGAGGGAGGGCGGGAAGGCAAGTCCTGCCGCATTCCTGACGTCCTGATCCTTCTTTGGTTTGATTTTCGAATTCAGGAGCACCCCATGCATAATAGAAGTGAGTACTAGTATCCATGGCTTCTAAAGGATTCTAGCTCTAGCTAGGACCAGTGCCGGTGTGCAGATAGTCAAGAGATTCGATGCGATTCGATTCAGGTTGGCAGCAGACCTCGAGCAAATAATATGAGAATAGAATTTTTTCAATTATTTCTCATGGAGGCTCCATTTCCTAACTTTAGCTTTGAAGTCAATAGTTTTCCCGAGGGAATGGAAACCTTCAGCTCTTTGTAGCACGAGGGATGCACAATCTTACTAGAGGTCCCTGAACGGCATCACGTATCCAGACCATTTCCTTGGGCTGATTTTGGTCCCCGACCAGCGGACAACCACATGGGGTCGGAACCACCACAAGGTACACTTGCTAGATCGACTACATGTACAAGTACATGTATCTCGTGTTGTTTTCAAGCGTCCATCTTTGATTTTAAATCTGAGGTCTGAGGGGAGGGCGACAGGTTTTAGAAAGGTAGTTAGGGTAAATATAGGGTTAAAGTTACGTTTTACTCTAACGTTTGTATAAAACAATAATTTACCGCGTCTCCCAAACACCCAAGTTGTCTTCCTGTACGTGACATTGTACATGTGCATAGACGACTGACTCGACTCAAATTTCGATGTGTGAGTGGATCCAAGCGAGATTCGGAATTCGGAACTCCTTCAGCCTGCACCGTCTGCATTCCTGTTTTGCGGGAGTCGTCGTGTCTGCCTCGCTTGGATTGCCGCCTCGACTCGACTCCCGCAAGCTCCAAGAATATGTGGCGACACAACCACCGAGTTGACCATCCCACGAACCTTCCTGTGAGAGTCAACGCGGCGCCCTTTCAACGCAGCCAATCTTCTGATAGTACCGTACCAATTCTGCAAGAGTTGGAAGAATGCCTATGTATTAATGATACTCTCGCTCGCCTTTTACCGGCAACAGGGGATTCTTAGTGATATGACATCTCAACGCAGCATTTTGAGCCGCCGGGTCTCACACCTCCCGTCACAAATGCAACTAAATTATTTCTTTTCCAACGGAGCACCAATAATCTCAGTATTCGACTTGAGCCAGGATCTCTAGCAATGCAATCATTATCTTGAAAAGTGCGCTTCTTCAGAACCTAGCTTCCTCCTCACTATTGAGCTTCGTTTATCTTCACTACCACACACTCCAAACCATGTCGCCCTTTTCTTGTAATCGAAGCCTCCTCTTCGTCGCTCTTCTTCAGCTTCAGGTCACCACCTTTGCTGCCGCCGAGTGCACTGGATTCTTCTGTCCAGAAAATCCATACACTCGACACAACAACGAAGAGACCGAAGAGGAGCCCTGCATCGGATTTGGTTGCAACGAGGAAGATTCCCAAGAAGAAGAACCTTCGTCCAACAGCATGCTGGGTGAGTGCACAATGGTCTCTCTTGAGATGGACACAGACTCTCGGCCTGAAGACACCACCTTTGAGCTGGTCTGCAACGACATCCACCTCTGGCAGTACCCAAGTGACCAACTTCTCCAGCGCGGCGCATACGACAAACTCAGTGTTGACTCCTGTGTCTACATGCGTGATGACTCGTGCTGTGAATTTGTCATCAAGGACCAAGGCAGAGACGGATTGATGGCGGGTGACTATGCTGCCTTGTCTTTGAAGGTTGACGGAGAAGAAATCCTGTCCTACAACACAATGGATAGCCCTCCCTTTGAGAGTTTGACCCGCACCTTTGGCTCCGCTTGCCGAGATGCTGTTGTCCCCGTTGAAGAAACCAAGAAGGACGAACCTATTGAATCCTGCGATGGAGAAGACGAAACTCTCGCTCGCTTTGAGATTACTCTGGACGACAAGCCTGAAGAGACGAGCTGGTACTTGATCTGCGACGACCGCATCTCAGGCAACTTGCTGACCCTCTGGAACAGACCTCGTGGTACCCTGTCCACACCCACAGAAGCTATTGTCGAAACGGCATGTATTGCACCAACGAGCACCTGTGCCTTCTCAATCGTGGATAGTGCGGGAGACGGCCTTGACTTTGGAGGATATTCTCTGACCTTTGGAAGCAATCTGATTGATCTCTACGATACAGAACCCTTTGATGAAAAGTCCTACTGCATTGGCCGCCTTTGCGCTGAAAACCTTCAGAATGCTGCTGAAAAGACTTTGGCATCGACTCTGATTACTGACTACTCCCACGAGCAGCTTGAGAAAATGGGAGAAGCCGTAGGGAATGCAGTCGACGCGCTTGTGTTTGACTCCAAGGAAGAAGTGAAGGACGAAGTGAGCGAGATCGCACAAAAGATCTTTGGAGATGACGATGAGTCGTCGAGCAGCGACGACACAGACTCGGACAACGACGACGACCTGTCGGACTCCGACGATGAACCAGGATCTTCCAACCAAAACCGGCGGCCCGATTCACACTTCATCTCTGAGGGCTCCGGCAGTGGAGTCTCGTTGGAGGCTTGGGCATATGCTGTCCTCGGTGTCGCAGCCCTCATGGGGGCCATTCTTCTCTTCGCTGCCTGTGCATTGGATAGAGCGACCCCACCAGGCCAATCATCGAGCGACGCGGCAAGGGATGCTTTGTCCCCCTCAAAGAGCGGTGAAAGTGATGACGCATCCACCTTCCTTGGTGACGAGGAGGAACCAGCACCAGTATGAGATACAGATGCTAGCTGAGCTACTATTGTTTACGTGCCTGATAGAATGCCAAAGACGTTTCTGTACAATTTTGGAACGCCTGTTCCGGCCTCCGGCCTCCAGCATCAATAATCAAGACTTTGCATTACTACTACATAAACTAGGGACCGCATTTTGAACTACCCGAAACCACCTGTATGAGACGAAGTTGTTGGGAGGCGCGCCCTACGTGTTCTATTGTGCGCTCCACGATATCATCGCAGGTAGCAGCAATGCCAAAAGACGTCGCTGTACAAAAAAGAACCATTGCTACCGGTATGTAGCTACTACCGATATCGGTCTGGTAGCATCGATGGTCAGCCTGCTTCATGACTTCTACATAAATCGGCATGCATCACCAGACAGGTACTAGAAAACCAAACCCTTTCTTGGGTAGTACCGGTACCATTAGCCCCGTGGCTGGCTTGCTTTTGGCTGGGCATCCATGCGACAGCTCACTGTCGCCGGTTACCATGAGGCAACAATGAAGCAGGGTGACAGGGTGACGTCAAGCCAAGAAGATTGCGAGCGCAGCAAACCACAACCTGCTTCCTCGCCCCATGCTGCCGACAGGGATGGCATAATAACGGCCAGTGTGCGTTTAGAACGCAATTTTTGAACGGCGCAAGCCAAGCTGAAAGATCGAAAGAGATCCACGCCACCACTCCGCTTCCTTTGGTGAGCATCCCGTTGCTGTCTCGAAAAGGCTGCAGCTTCTTGTTTTGGTAGTTTTGGTTGGCTTGGTGGTTTGTTTGACATTTTTTTGTTGAGAATATGGAAAAGCCTCGCGAAGAAGGGCAGAGAATGACGTACTGCTCCCGATCTTGGAAGAAGCAACGGGTAGCTCAACTGGTAAATTATTGGTACGAATACAATCGTACTCGAGCACTGTAAATGGCTGGGTAAGTATAATGCTGAGCCTTCTCTACCAGTAACCAGAACATGTGAGACATCATGATCGGGTTGCACCTCACTCTTCAACTCTTCAACTCCCGATGGGCCAACTGAAAGTTGAGGGCCATCGTTGCGTTAAAAAGACCCATTGTCCACCCCTTAAAAGCCCCCCTTGTATCTCTTTTTGGTGGCCAGGTTGCATCAGAGTGTTAGATCGCATCAGAGTGTTAGATCTATAAAGAGGTTGGCCCTATCTTGGCAGAGTGTGGTTAGAGCATTTGTTCACTTCTGTTCAAATGGACTTAGTTCATCATAGCCATGGCATCATTTTTAAAAAGCCTACATGGCCTACTACCAGGTAGCTAGTATTTGAGTTTATCCGATGAAAACACCAACAATGCATCAATGATGCTCTTTCCATGCCATCATTAAGCCTCAAACTGAAACTGCTCCAACAATTGTGATTCAGATGTTTGGGCTCAGCGTTGCATCAATTGTGCAACCTGCACCATACGCTCTACCTTGTTGCTCAACACAGGATGATTGGTCATTCGATGCCAACATTCCATCCCCCCCCTAGCCTCCTATGCGGCATGGAACTACTCCTACTACGTTAAAAAAAAAGAACCGCTTTCATTGAATGAAAATGAAAGCGGACGCCCCATCTTCTCGACAGAAATATCATTGGGTTCTTTTCGAGGTGTCAGGGCTTTATTACTGTGACATTTTTGTACCATTCTACTTAGTAGTGGCCAGACATCATATTCTTTGACATGACGTGAGCTCTATCAATATAAAGGCATTATTCTACGCAAAATGCCACCGGCAGCGCAATGGACACTTACGCACATCAAATTCTGGATCCAACCAAATTGAAGAGAGGCACAACCTCTTTGCCGTTTTGCCGTTTCCTGCTGCCCCTCTTCGCATCGCTCATTTCGAAAAGTATCAATCCTCCTTCCAACCCAAACAGCATCACAGCCCCCTCATCACGGTTTCTAACGCAACGCATCGGCATGTCAGATCCAACATCACCCACCAAGCTCCCATTATTGGATTCGATGATGATTCCCAAGGAGGACACGTTGTTTCCTTCTCTTGCAATGGCTGGCCTCCAAACGCCGACGACGAGGCGGACCACCGCACTGCCCAAGATGTCCTTGAAGCCAAGGAAATCGACAAGGGGGTATGTTGACACTTTGGATATTGTTCATGCCACTTATGCCGTCCCTTCTATTGCCGCCGCTACTGGCACAGCAGCTGCAAGGACTCATCTGGTGGCATCAGGTGGTTTCTCTACCCCCCTCTTTTCCCGCGCACCATCAGTCGAGAGTCTCGTTCAGAACGCACCCCAATTCCCCGACTGTCTGAGCCCGACCATGGACGACGACACCAAGCCAATGACGGCCAAGCCGTTTCTGCCTCGCCCCAAGAAGCACACCAAGCGAAGCCGACCCATTGAAGCAGCGACAAGGGCGTCTGCATCGAGGCCCTCACTGACCAGCAGAAGGCCAGCCAAGACTTTGACCTCCTCAGTCTTCATGCCCGACATTCCTGACCAACGCACCGTTTCGCCCGAGTCCTGTGCGGACTTTTCTCATTCCAGGATCCACCGCCGTTTGAAGATGAGGCCAACCACTGGCCTTGTTCTCTGAGCAAGCAAGCCACTGGCTTTCTTCCCTGAGCAAGACGTTGCTTGCTTATTCCATCTTACACATTTCTAAACTACATGATTAAACCTACACATACATTACACGCTGCAGTGGCACGGACTTGGACCCTGTTGGCCGCAAGCCATATGGAAGTACTACAGGTAGTACTACTAGTACTCGCATGTTGTGGTAGAACACCCACCGCCGATGATATTGGTTGCTTCCTCAGTTTTGTCAGCAGCTCAGATTGATAGAAGAGGGGCATCACATAAAATAATAGCTTCAAGTTACCAAACAGCCACCTACCCATTTCATAGCCAGCCAGATAGCTAAGAGGTGGGACCTAACAGCTGACCTAACGCAGCAAGTTGATGCAGATGATACTAACTTAAGCCAACAAGAATGATGGATCATTGTTAACTACTACATTGCCTTCGAAAGGTCTACTGTCGACTGTCCGCAGCAGTCTTGCTAACCCAAATGGCAGTTCCATGATACCATGAGCCCTGACTAGAGTCTAGACGACTAGACTATTCCAAGAACATTTTGCATGGGCAAGCATCAGATTCTTGTTTCATGGCCTTCCTTTACACCACAAGTCATGATGTATGTGTGATGTGTGCATTGCAGCGTCTGTCCACAGCAGTCTCGGTAACGGGTGACTGAAAACGGCAGTTCCATGACTCCTTGAGCAACGAGCAATGAGCAGTCCCATTCTCCTTCTCCTCTGCTATCCATGTTCCATCAAGGCATTAGATCTAGAGCCAGCTGGTACGTACCAGGTAGCTACTAGCTAGTAGAGATTGGAGTTGTGCTTGCGAGAGCCAACAAGGAACGCTGCGTTACATAATGACCGAACTGGCACACTATCGTTACAGGTCACCCACCACAGCCAATCAAGGTACATGTAAGGCCACAAGCGGACGAATCAGCAAAGCGACGAGAAAAGAACAGTTCTTTGGTGGCCTCACGTTGAATCGAATCTACCTAGAATCTACAGTGTCAGCTAATTTATCCATTCCGTCTCCTTCATTCTTCATTGGTCCTTCGTCCTTGGTCGCAAGGTGCGGCTACGAGCCAGCTTCCTGGCTAGCTAGCAGACCCATGACCTGGCTGGGTGCCTGTCCGATGGAGGTGGAAGTGACTTACCCGTGCTGTGTGCTGCCCATCTGCCCATGAGGAATGCGCCGATACAACAACAAGAAACACCCAGATATCGGCCGAAGGCCGAAGTATCGGAGTGGGGGCAGGAGGAGGGGGGCCGCGCAGCGGCCTAGTAACAAAGAGGGGAAGAGGAGGGGGAACCAACAACAACAACAGAAGAACAACATCGCGAGGAGCCAATCGCCCACCATAACATGGCCAACGAGCTAATAGCAACAGTAGTAATAGTAGTAACAGATACATTGTGACTGTTGTTGATGGTGGTTGTTGATGGTATTCGCCATGGTAGCGCGTTGTAGTTGTTGTTACGCCATGGTTGGTTGTTTGTTGTCAAGAGAGGGGGTGGTGCGAGATACTTCCGACATCTTACTTAGAGGGCCAGCAGGTTTTTGTTAAATCTCTGCAGGTTTCCTACTGTTTCCTTGTTAAGTCTCCTTGAGAGGGGAGAAACCGACCAGCACCCCTCTCCTTTCCAGTCATTGACACTCGGGTTTCCTCTCAGAGCAGTACTCGAGTTTCCTCAATCGAAGAAAACCACGCAATGACACAAGGCACCTTTGTAACAATAGGCCGCTACCGCTGCTGCAACAAGAGGAGGACTAGCTACCGCTGCTGCAACAAGAAGAGTACTGGCAACAGTCGCTACTACAGTCGAGTTGCATCCATCGGCAGAGCAGCTTCCGCAAGACGCTACACAGTAAGAACAACATCTATAGCCAACAAGACGCCCATGCAGCTAAGAGAGCCTTATTGTCGATCCCTCGAAGCCACCATTGTCAAGGAGCATAGCTTTCGCTCTTTCGATGGTTGAATTTATGGAACTGACTAACTGGAGAGGATCTTGTTTCGTGCATCGGAGAGGCTGTTTGCCTTCTCTTAACCTTCCGTTAGCCAACAACCATTAGACGAGCAACAAGTTCAGTTTTCCATCTTCTCGTGCAACAAATAGCCATATGTATTGTACCAGAATGTGGAAAATTGTTGTTGCAGCTGTGGATATGGCCTTTGTCGATTCAATCCCACGAAGCATAACACATACTAGTATGTATGGACAAGTTGACAACACACATGGTCGACGATCGATCCAAGCCACTCTTTTTCATTATTTACTTTTTTTCATTATTTCGATACCTTTACTCTATCTCTACTCTATCAAGATGATGCTACCGGTATCTCCTCTTCTTTACAGCGGCTACTCCTCTCTTTCTCTTGAAGACGTCTCCACCATGACCATGGCAGGCTCCTCTTCCGTTTGACGGATCGCCTCTTGCTTTGCTAGGCTGGAAGCAGCGGTCTTCCGTTCGACGGATCGATTCGATTCGGTCGGTCGGTCGATGACTTCTGCCTCCTTCCACGGCGCGACCATGATGCTTCCACGGAGCGACGCAATGGTCGGAACACGTCGTCGGAGATAAACAACAACAACAAGAAGGGAAAAATGGCATAGCCTCCGGCATAGCCCGAAGGCGGCGACATTTTTTGTGTGGTGGATTGGAGCGGTGGTAGAGACAGTGATGGTGTTGGTTGGTGGTGGCAATGCTCAGCAAATGACGGTGCAGGTAGAGCCGGTAGGTCCAGTCCAGAAGATCTGTCGTCCGAGTGTATTTCTCACAGCAGCATGAGTGGTTACCGGAAGACGCAACAGATCAATCGAAAGAAGTTGTTGCTCTGAGTAGGAACCGTTGCTTCACCATAATGCCAAGAGCCTTGCCCCTACCGAAGTAGGCACTGACTTCAAGGCAAAATAGCGCAGCAGTTGTTGTTGGTGTAGTAGGAGTAGTAGTAGTAGTAGCGTTGTCATTTGTTGTTGTTGTCGTTGCCCTCGACCCACCACTTGAGAGTTGGGACACTGATCAGATCACCGGCTCGCTCAAAGACATAGGCATCCTTTTTTGAATGAAGTATCCTCTTCTACACAGGTACCAGTACACCACCCTGTATGTACACTCTGGTACTCCTCTACCTACTCTATCGATACTTCCGTCTGCCAATGAAGAAACAAGCAAGACCACCTCACACCTCAACTGCTTGCTCTCATGGACTGATGGGGCTTCTTACTGAATAATTAATTGTTCAAGTAAGTTGTAATGGATCTTGCTGCCTTGCTGCAGTCTTGCTGCCCACTCGTACTCAGTATTCTACCACCTAAAAGCTACTAGTACTGACAAATGTACCGGCAGCGCTTTTTCATCAGGCTGTGATCGAAGAGGTGCGACCTCATCATCTTTTGATCATAATAATAGGGGTCGTCAAAGTTCCTCCAACTGAGCACTTTTTTTTGGTTTTCAGAAACCTGGAGCGTTCCTCAATCGTGCATGAAACCGACCCTAAAATAGGGTCGGATTTAGGGTCGGATTCCCTTTAGGGTCGGATTTCGAAACCGACCCTAAAAATAGGGACGGTTTCTGAAAAATAGGGACGGTTTCTGAAAAACCGTCCCTAATTTAGGGTCGGGTTTCGTTTTAGGGTCGGGTTTGAAAAACGTCCCTAAATAGAAACGGGACTGCCTGGTAAATACATTGAAAACGCACCAATATTAGGGTCGGGTTTCGAAACCGACCCTAAAAATAGGGACGTTTTCTGAAAAATAGGGACGGTTTCTGAAAAAACGTCCCTAATTTAGGGTCGGGTTTCATTTTAGGGTCGGGTTTTGAAACCGTCCCTATATTTAGGGACGGATTCCCCAAACCGACCCTAAATTAGGGTCGGATTTAAAGTCATGCACGATTGAGGGACGCTCCTGGTGAACTTGGATCTCAACACACGAATGAGAATTGAGTCTCAATCCAGCAGAGCTGCGAGAATACTATCGCTTTTGTAAGGGGTTCCACTGATTGAAAGGGCCCGAAATCAGGATTATCGTTTAGTCATGGCCTCCAGTACCGGCAATGGAATAGCTGGTAAAAAGTGAGCCCACTATTTTGTAGACAGGAGCAACCTGGTACACTGGAGCAGTAGAAAGAATAGCCAAAATAGATGGTGCGACATGGTTGCTGTTTCAATAGATGTTCTTTATTCAGCTACATCATCTACAGCAGCAGCTGGTACTCTTTCTACACAAACTGACTCATCTGTTGTTGTCGACAACACAAACTGTTGTTGTGGACGAACAGCCGTTGTCGTCGTCAACCACTCCACAGCGCCATTGTCGCAACCACTCATCTGCTGCTGACAGTCCACAACCACTCACCTCGACGGTTGTCGTCGCCGACCGCTGCGCCACCCTCGCCAAACTGACTCATCATGTCGTTCGATGGCAACAACAACAAGATCTCGACAGTCCTCAACGTTCGATCGGCCGACCACCACTGCTGCGCTTCCAACAACAACACACAACGCCTCCAGAGGCAAGAAGCTAAAAGGACAGAATTGGAGGCATGGGAAGCAGCAGCAACCTAGGCATTAGTATCCGATCTCTTGATTAGCTCTGACAACATCACAATGATGATGTTGACAGCAATTCATCCAACAACCAATCCAACAGAACAGCAGATCACGTCACATGATTCGATTATTTGGATTCGAAGGTACATTTTCATCATCACTGCTATCGTCGGAACTGGAGTTGTTGTTTCCATTATCCTTGTTGTTGCTTGGATTGTTAGCGACCGTGGAAGCTCTGTTGTTGAGGGTAGCAGCAGGCGCAGTGCTGGTAGTGGAAGGAGGAGAGTCGGAGGCAGAGATCTTCAATGCGTCATTGTGGAGGTCAACCATTGCTTCCGCATGAGTCTCTCGAGTTTGTTTGGTAGGAAAGCACCAATCTCTCTTGTGGATTCCTCTCAATTCCCAATCTTCCTTGGCCAATCCAAAGAAAGAAGTATCATGCCACCGGACAAAGC